AAACGTCTAACTGATTTTGCTCCATTTCTGTGTGTGCTGTTTCTCATTTCCCCCCATCATTACCATCATTGCCGTTCTGTTTTGTTCTCCGTGCCATCCCTTTAAAAGTCGGTCTATGTACCACACGCCTTGGCGTTCAGGAGATCGTTTGCATCAAAGGTAGTGTCTCCTTCCCATCGACTGCCCCCCACACCACACCCCTGTTGCATGCTTGTCTGTGATTAACTCCCCAGAGCGCCCCGGCTCCCAGCCCATCCTCACTAACTGCGTTCCTCCATGCATGGCGCTCACCAGCACTGGCAGCAGGGCTGCCCTCAGACGTGCGGTGCGACCAGAGAGGCTGGCGGGAGTGCATGTGGCCCTTTGTTCCAGGGCCTGAGGGAGGGGGCACGGCAGCAGTGGGAGTTCACAGGCCTGCACCACAAAGCAAGACAAGATGCTGGGGGCCCCAGCACACCCCTGGTGGTCTTCCGGCCCGGCGCCACCCCCTTCAGTGGGCCCGCTGCCACCACACCAGCTGTTAGAATGACAACATAGCCTGGGCTGAATACAGAAGTCGCCATTAAGGCCTATAAAATCCACAGAGGCAATCAAGAGGGTGTTGGAAGTACAGACAGCCCCCAACGTTTGCCTCTGGTGCCCAGGGTAAAGCACCCGACACACTGGTGCCCTTCCCCCCACCACTCTCCCAGCGACCCTGGCAGTGCCCTCAGTTCTTCCATGCCCCACGCCACTGCAAGCCCATGGCTTTTTCTCCACACTCTTATTAGTGAGTTCAGGGGCATCCATACTTAAAAGAGAAGCATCCCCGTTTTCCTTACTTCGGATGTTGCTTCTTTAAAGAAACTTACAAGTACCACTCCTGAAGAATGTAGCTTCTAATACCAAAACGAGAAACAAAGCCAAACTCACTGTCACTGAGTCAGTGCCGACTCCAGAGCAAGGGACTGAAAAAGACCCTCCTGCTGTCTCCTTGCCCTCTCCCTGTAAGCCTCCTAGAAGCAGGGGCTTGAGGAGACCTTTTCCACCACCATCCCACACAGTAGTGAAACGTACGTGCTAGTCACCCCTCTGGCTAAGCTGCCCACCAGGCCATCTGTCCACACACCTCTCCTGCACTCACATGTCTGCCGGCACCCTCAGCCCTGCAGTGCTCTGTGGAGAGGCCACGGGGGTCAGGCACCAGCTCCCACCACCAAAAAGAGCCCTTCCTGCACCCCTGCCAGCCAGCCTCCCACCAGCACCACGGGCTGAGGAAACCTCGTTCTCTCCAGCCGAGAACCTACACAGAGGAGGAGCTGAGCCTCAAGCTGACCCGGCGCGTGCAGAAGGCAGCTCGGAGACAGGCCAAACAGGAGGAACTGAAGCGGCTACACCGAGCCCAGGTGAGCCCACGGAAGGTGGCACTGCTCCACTCCTGAGTGCCGCAGCTATCTTCCTGTCCAGCTTGCTCATTCTAGGCCTGGTCTGAGGAGAGGCAAGAAGGCAGAGGTAGGGGGCGGGCCCTGTGTGAGTCACTGGCATGAGAGGGCAGCCCCAAGTTCTTAGGGTACAATCATAATGTAACTACCAAGAAACCCAACTCTGCCATCAAGTTGATGGTGACTCATCACGAGCCTCGAGGGCAGGGTAGAACCGCCCCAGTGGGTTTCCGAGACAGGAGTAGAAAGCCTTGTCTTTCTCCCAAAGAGCAGCTGGTGGTTTCAAACTGCTGACCTTGCAGTTAGCAACCCAATGCATAACCACTACGCCACCAGGGTTCCTAATGTAAGGACCGAACCCAAACCAAGCTCACTGGCATGGAGTCAGTGCTGACTAATGGCAATCCCTTGTGGGTTTCCAGAACTGTAACTGTTTACGGGAGGAGAAAGCCCAGTCTTTCTCCGGAGTAGTTGCCGGTGGTTTTAAATTGCCAGCCACGTGGGTCACACCCTGTAGCCCCTGCTCCCCGAGAGCACCTAATGTAAGGACAGAGGCCTCATGTTTGTAGTGCAGGTGAAAGGCTGGCCAAGCGTGTCAGCCCTAGACTAGCCCCTTAGGCTTGTGGAAGGCATGGCAGCCGCGGCCGCAGGCTCCAAGGCCGGCTCTGAGAGACCACTTGGCGAAGCCAAGCTAATTGCCACAGGCACGCTTGTCTGTTCACCCACCCCTAGTCTAGAGCAACCCCTGCAGAGGCAGCTCGCTCACTTATAAGCTCCGCTACCAAGCAGCCTCTGAAGGGCCTGGGATTTTGTGGCATGAGGTCAGGGCTGTCCCGGGAGGGCCTTACCGATCCTGGCCAGTCCAGCTTCTGATGGAAAACAATCCCTCGTTGAGGCAGCATTTCCGCAGTGCTTCCCAAGAACCCCTGCTGCTGAGCAGCATCTCTGAGGGGAGCCTGGTTCGTGATACGCACATCCATCCCCTCCTGCCCCCAGGCTCTCGGGAGTCTGCGCATGGAGCCAGGGCTGCCGAGGGTGGCTCAGGGCCCACCCAGAAGGAGCCCTTCCCATCCCTGGTCCTCCCTCGCTCTCCATGCACACTGCCCTCCTCCGGGAAGCCAGGAGGCGAGGGTGGCGCTCATGGAGGGTCTGGTTCTGTGGCAGATCATCCAGCGGCAGCTGGAGCAGGTGGAGGAGAAGCAGAGGCAGCTGGAGGAGAGAGGGGTCGCTGTGGAAAAGGCGCTGCGCGGCGAAGCAGGTACTGTCTCGGTTTTCTTCATGAGGCAAAGCCCCCACCCACCAGTGCCAGGCTAGCTGGCCTTAACGTCCCCTCATCTGGACCTCAGCTCCTCTTCCAGCAGGCTTGGCTGGGCCCCTTCACCACTGAGGTTGGGGCCACGGAAAGGGCCTCTGTTTGGGACTGCCCTCGGGCCCGGTCCTCACCCTGCCTCCCAGGCTTGCCATGTACCTGTGGGATGAAATCTGAGCCCATTTCACCTGCTGGTGGCAAGCCCTGGACGCTCTCCTGCCTGTCCTCCCCTCTTCCCACACCCCGTCCCTTCTCTCTAGAAGGAAATAACCGGGAACGAGGGAGCTGAGACCACAAGCCGCCATCACAGAACTGTACCGAGCAAGCCCCAGCCTGGTCCCCCATGGACCACCGCCCTTTGTTTAGCTCTCCCTGGGTCCCTCTCCTGCCCACCATAGGGGACACACAAGGACACCCTCCACACCACGAGTGGAGTGCAGGCGGGGTCCCAGGGTGCACACAGGCCCTCTGTTCGCAGAAGGACAGGAGAGTGGTCAGGGCAGGGTTGAGGGGCTCGCCTGGCCATGGCAGGCCAGCACAGAGGGGGCCTTAGAGAGCGACATGGACTTGGAGCCCACATGGCTGATGATACCCAGTCCCCCCACCCCCGCCCTCCCCCGCCATGGATGTCGCAGGACCTGACTCAGACTAGCTAGAAGACCCAGAGGCCCAGTCTCCGGCACGTAGTGACTGGTTTCTGCTTTCTCAGGTGGCTCCATCTCTGTGCGGGGAAACTTTCCATTTCTGAGTGAGCAGGAGGCCTGTAGGCAGGTTCGGCATTCAAATTACGAGCCTGGGGTGGAAAGAAATAGCACGACCTCATGTTACTTCCTTGTTCTGACCTTGAGGTGGGGCAAGGGAGCACAGGCAGCAGGCTGCCGTGAAGCTGTGGGACCGTGAGCAGCCAGCTGTGACGGCCTGATGCTGCGCGAGGGCAGGCCCCTGGTGGCCCCACGGTGTGTGCCTGGTGTCAGTTGAATTGATAGGGCCTGTAGTCCGCACGGTTGGGTTGGAGGGTCAGGTGTAGAAGGGGAGGTCTCCTTCTCTAGACCTTGACGGCCTAGAATCTGCAGCCCTACTGTCACAGGTGCTGTCCTTCAGACGAAGAGCTTGGGGAGGGAAAAGATGCAGCTGTGGATGTTGTTGGTTTTTGTCCCTCCTCCTCACACAGCAGGCCCCAGCCACTGCCCTGGTGTTGGATGACATTTGTGTTCACCACATCAGAGAGTTTGCTTCTTGGCGTGGTTGGCATCTGTCTTTCAAACCCATAGAACCGAATTTCAGATCCAGAGCCTCTTTTCAGATGTGCTGTGCTGAGCAAAATGTGAAATCATTCGCTGTAGATCAGCAAGTAAGCACAGGTAAGCATGTGCTTACCTGGTGTGTCGGGTAATCCTGCAGTTTCTATAACCCAAGGAGATATAGTCAATCGGAGCATCTGTGTTGAGAGCCTCTCCTGGCTTCCCTCATGATGTAGCTGTGATGGGGGCTGCGTGGTCATGATCACCGTCAGTTAGAGCCTAGGTTCCCCGGCATTGGGATCGCCTGAGAACTTGCTGGAACCACAGATCCCTGAGCTCCATTTGCGACCCGTTGAATCCGAATCTCTAGTAAGAGGAACCCCGGGATCTGTAGTTTCACCAGATCCCCAGGTGATTCCAATGATCAGCCATGTTTGTGGACCTTGGTTAGGTCGTGCCGCCTGAGGACAGTCGATCTTGGCGACCAGGTGGTCTGGCCAGCCCCTACCCACAACACAAACCCTCAGGTGTAGTCCGGATAACAGGGACCGCAACGACTCAAGACACCCCATGGTTTCAGAGGCAGATTCTTCACACTGCCGAGCGGCTGCCTCCTCCGAGCAGACGACAGGTTCACTTTCTTTAAAGCAGACTTGACTTCGGATAAGCAGGCAAGCAGTCCCACTACTGGCCTTCACGGACGTCCAGACACCTGTGCCGAGCGGTGTCCTGTGCCTCAGCACAGACTAGCAAGCACATCAGTGGTGGTGTTGAAGTGTGCTTAAATGGGTGCAAGTGTGGACGAACCAGGTATCTGAGAGCCCTAACACCCTCTTGAAGAGCCGTTGGGTTCCCCAGGACACAGTTTGAGAACCGCTGTCCAGTGGGAACTCCTTCCTCGAAGCAAGATCTCTGCATCCAAACAGCTGTCTGTCCCATTTTTAAAAACAGGCCTCGGAAGCTCTCTCTGGCAACCCTCTCCGTGCTGTGCTGCGTTCGGGGAATTTCTCAGGACACCAGGGCTCCTACCGCAAGAACATGCTGCTAAATATGTCCTTTTCCCTCTTAAAAATTGAATCACATCCCTTGGAAGACTGGTTCTCTGTGAGCATTTCCAGTGGCCCTGCTCCAGCTGCCGGGCCATCTCTGAGCCTGAATTGCACATGCTGGCCACCGTTTCCTCTCTCCCTGCTCCCCGACTCCTTTCCTCTGGTGCCTCCTGACCGAGGCCGGGCCTGTGTGCCCTTTTCTTCTGTGGGAAGGTAAGCTTAGCTGAGCAGGATCCTGCAGCATCTTACCACAGCCCCAGCTGTGGGGACTGCACTGGCCCTGGTGGGCCTTCATATTGGACGCCAGCGGCTCTCAGTATCTGGGAACGTCCGACTTTGATAGCCAAGTGGTCCCTCCAGAGGAGAGATCTGATTTGGACCTGCACCCTACCCCCCTCTTCCCTAGATCCTCCCTGAAGGTGCGGAACCTTCAACCCTGAGGCAGTACTTGGGTTCTCTCTGGCTTGGGGGCACTGGCAAGCCCCTTTGGTTCCGGAACCCTGATTCAGACATGGAAGCACCCTGAGTGTCAGATGAAAAGCCCTCACAGGCCTGTGCTCCCCTTCCTGATGTGCCCTCGGGGCCTCCATGGTCAGCCTTCAGGCGTTGGGCCTTGGAGAAAAGAGGTAAACATGGTAGGGACTGGAGTTCGGCGTGCCCTGCGTTCCTCTGTGATTTGGGACAGTCCACCCCCCACCTGTTCCAATGGCAGAGTTTCCGAAGCCCCCAGCAGTGCCCAGTCTTTGCATCTCAGCCTTGGGGAGAAGGTGCTGTCCAATAGGGTGGAGTTAAAGACGGAGGGGCTGTGTACAGCAGCCCTGAAGATCCTGGGGACACATGATGCAGGGGTGAGAACCGTGCTGACTGCCTGTTTGACAGAGAAGGCTGGCTGGAGGCAGGCCATGAACTTCGGAAGAATAGGGCTTCATGCATGTCAGACCATCCCACAGAAGTGCTCGTGCAAGGAGTTTGAGGTGGTCTCCAGTGAGGTCACGCGTGCAAGAGTCCTTGGGTGAGCTATGTCTGCATTGAAACCCCAGGATCAATATCCTTGCTGAGCTTGTGTAAGACACACAGGCCTGGGCCCCAGCCCGCCCGCTCAGCCTGGAGCTTCTAGTGTTCAGGAAATAAGGAAGTAGATAACCCTGGATCTGCCCCTGACCTTGCTTAACTCTTCCTTGAATAACTTGGGGTCCCAGGCATCGAGGTTCCTCACAAAGCCATGGCCTTCACCCCACCTGGTAGGAGTGTGCTCAGGAGCCCCATGGGGATGGGCTGTTGGCTCCATTGCCCGTGGAGCTCCCCACTCCAGCCCGCAGTCTGTCTGCAGATTGTACAGGACGTACCCGTGACGATGCGTGCCTTCCCGCTGCCCTCTCCGCCCTCCCAGCTGTGAGTGTGTGTGAATGTGTGTGTCCGCATTTCCTTGGTAACCTGGTTACGGGCGTGGGGCGGGCAGGAGGGTTATCTGATCCAATAACTCTGTCTTCACCAATTCCTTGTTGTAGACTATTGGGGAGAGTCTTATTACAGTGGCCTCATCGACTTGCATCTGGGTGGTATGTATAGCAGCATCTGACGCTGCCACTAACCCTGCTGAAACCCGTTCCCCGCCCTCTCCCCTCGATCCCTGCTCCCAAACAACCAGAAGGGTCCACCTGATAACCCAGTGCCAGAAGCACAGGCCCTTTTCCAGCTCGGATGGAGCGGCGTGCCAGGCCCTCCCCACCGCCCGGACAGGCGCCCACTCTGGCTGCCTGAGGGCATTTGGATGTTTTTTGAATAACAAAATGTCACCAGTCCCAGACCATGAATCTTGCATAATATCCCCATAAAACTGCTTAATTGTTTGATAGCAGTAGCTGTCTTACACGCGTGCGCGCGCGCGCGCCATTATGACCTTTCCCCGGTCTCATTGCCCATAAGTGGTAAGCATCACATCACTATAAAGTTTGTTGCAAACCAGTCAGAAGGGAAGAGTCCAGTTGAAGGAGCGGGTTTTGCTTGTCCCCAGAAGCCCAGTCCAAGCACATGCACTGGCTTCATTGTTATCACTGCTGCCACAGGAGGCCATGGGCCTGTAATCATGCCTGCGCCCCCTGCCCCCAACTTTGCAGAATTGGGGGATCCCCCCCGCCCCCAGGAAGACAGGCAGAACCCAAGACCGTGCTTCTGAAATCGTGGTGCCCTGACCAGCAGCAGCAGCATCTCCTCCCAGCAGTTCTCAGCCTGTGGGCGGAGACCTGATTCATAGCAGTAGCTTAAATGACAGTGATGAAGTAGCAAGGGAAATAATTTTATGGTTGGGGGGTCACCACCTCATGAGGAACTGTATGAAAGGGTCGCTTTCCTCATTAGGAAAGTTCAGAGCCACTGACCAAGGATCATGTCAGAAGTGCAGATTGTCAGGCTCCATGCCCCCAGGCCTAGCTGATCTAAAACCCTGGAGGCGAGGCCAGGCTGTCCGAGCCTTGACGAACCTTCCAGGTGGCACTGGGCAGCACTCAAGCGTTCCCCTCAGCTCAAAGGCACGACCGCTAGAGCCCTGTGTCAAGACTCTGGGAGAGGGTTGTGGCGCAGCCAGCACTGGGGTTAGCCGTTGGGGGGGGCTCCTGTTCCTGCATCCCTGATCTGGCAGCCTGGCCCACCTCACCCCTTG